CCCAATAACCTATTTAAAAGTGTAGAGACCATTTCTAACATCCCAATAACCTATTTAAAAGTGTAGAGAACATTTCTAACACTCCAATAACCTATTTTAATGGTGACTTTTTAAAAATTTAAAAGCCGCAAAGATTTTTTAAGAAGCCTACAATATCATTATCATACTGCAATTGAAGTGTCAGACTTACAGGACTCAGTCATTACCATACTCATTTCCACTGCTATTCTCCGTTCTAGGACGCCACTTCCTTCCTTCCCCTGATCATATATATATTCACATATACTCTTCCTTTAAAGCCCATTTAAATTTCTAGCTTCTGAACGATTTAACTGAACAGACCTTGCCCCTTACTATGAAGATGGTTTACATCATTTTCAATGGTCACGTGTGCTAATAGGCATTTTACCACAGCCAAGATTTATTAATTGTAAGACATACTATTCCATGTCCCATTAAAAAAGAGAAAATGCTTCCAATTAAAGCTGTAAGATACCACTGGTTGTAAGACACACAATAATTTCAGAGATGATACACTGTGAGAGAGATGTTCCTTATAGAACTAATGATATATTCACCTAAAAATCCTTCTGATAATTAAGTGTACATGAACATTTATAACCAAATTCAAAATAGTTTTTCTCTCCCAAGCCCATTCAACAGCTATTTCAAGAAATACAATGTTACTCTTAGGCAAAGATTCAGAGGTAAGAGTGCCATCTACTGCACAATTGGCATAGCCTTCTTCATTCCAGAAGATATTCCTTTAACACTCTCAGATAAATTATTATATTTCTGACAAAAACATTTGCCAAAGGGTGACCTCTCAATAAGCAGACTTCCTGGAGAGTAATGAAATTCTTCAATGGGTTCATCATCCTTATCATCCAAAAAGCCAAATTTGATTATTTGTGCTAATAATTTATGCCTAAAAACTGACCAGAACGTGCTTAATTTCTATTTAATTACTGCCTAGTTGTCTTTTGTATGAAGTATTTTTTCAGGAATACTATCCCAGCTTGCAGCTCTCGTCCTTCACATGCTAAGCACTTCTATTACTTTACTGGAATTCTGCTCTTCAGGTTTCAGTACAGGACTAACTAAAATAATAAAAAATACCAAGAAAATGAAAAGACCATGTAGATGTGAGACCATAATAACGAAGGGAAGGGATCAGTAATGTTCTCTGTCTTTAACAAATGAAATATAGTAAACGTTTGACATAACTCTGTCATCATTAGATGACCCTCCGTCACACAGCAACCTGGACCTGAAATCGAAACACTCGCTGTAAACTTGCACGTGTTTCTATTTTGCCTAAAAGCCCTAGTTAGTGAGTTTTGAAAAAGATTTAGGAAAAGATTTTTCCAAAATAGTGAAGACGAGCACAGGGGAGTGAAGAAGAGAGGAGAAAGGGAAGGAAGGCAAAGAAAATGAGGGAAGAAAAAATAAGGTCACCGCTAAGATCCAAGTCCAAATGCAGAAAAATGGAACAACTCCAAAGCCGGAGAAGAATACACAAGACTTTAGGATTAGAGAATTGTCAACTATTACCACTAGCCCCCTTCCTACCTAAGTTAGACCCTGTTCCGCACAGTGAAATCTATTTCAGAAAAATGTTCTTTAATAAAATTGTTAATTAGCTTCTATCTTTTAAGCCCTCATTTTAGTGAAACACTGTATTACACGAAATGATTCCAGATGTGAGATGTTAATATTCAAAACTGCCAAATGAGCCAGTAAAGTACACTTTAAACGCTAGTAAAGATTTGCTATATGCAATCTTGGCACAGTGACTAGCGTAATTTTCATTTTTACTTTTCTTAGAGGGTGATGATTCCTAGCAGTATCGCCACCATTATTAAGGTTTTACTGGGGTATGAAGTGAAATTATACTAGGAAATATTTGGAAAATAAGTTACATACACATTTATTCTAAATACTTAGAATAAATATGATCAGGAACCACCACGTAACCAAAACGTGTTCATTTTATTACAGAACTGTTTGCAAGTTATACTGTCATTAACATAAAGTGTGCCATCACTATTATTAAGACATACACCCTGGGACGACCTCTTGCCCTCAAAACAAGAGTGACGAACTAACTAACTACAGTCACGTGTCACCTAATGTCCATGACACGTTCTGTGAAATAGGACGTCGTGTGATGTCAACACCGTACAAACACCGTACTATGAATGAAGGTCCTCTTAGACACTGCTTCCAGATTAAGGAGGTTTCATCCATATTAAAAATTTCGTGGGGCAAACAGCCTCCCTCTACAATTAGCTCATCTCAGGTTTCAAGGTCTTCTGCTGCCTTTGCATCGGCACTCCCAGACTCACCACCCGGTCACATTACGCAGCGAAAAATGTCTGAAGGGCTTGAACCACCCAGAGCTACACTGAACTCGACACAGTCGCCTGGGACTGCTTTTTCTTCAGCCGTCTCGAACAAGCTTCGTGCCTTCGCAGCGACTGTTAATGCGCTGAGAGGGATTCGCTTTTGCGTTTGGTCTGCAATCCACGGCATTAGCAATCTCTCCCTATCTGATACAGACCCCTCTCCCATTTTCGTTAGCCTTGTAGCTTTCAGTGGAGCCAATCCTTGAACAGCTTGGAGAATTTTTTATTTGTTTTCAGCAACTGTCATGATTGTCGAGTACAATGTGCCTACATCCACTACGTCCCGTTCTCTGATCAGGATTTCTGAACTCTAGCATAACCCAGAGGACCACAGACATCCGTGCAGTCGGACGCTGCCTGAATGGACATTACGCGGCGGCACATGACTCTGATTATAAGCTAAAGGTACCGGAGCACCTCGACTAGAACTATTACTGCAAAGAGATTGTTTTTACCATAACCGGAGGTGTGATTAGGGCCCCGACGACCTCTGCCTCTTCCACTATAAGACCTAGAACCTTGTACAGAAGAGACGGTACTTTCATCAGTGGCATATCCTTTTTCTTTTTCAGGCCCTCTGGTGGAAGAAGGTCTGAAACCCATACCAATCTGTCGTAGCTGTTCGTCAATCTGTAGGCGTTCCATTCTTAGCTGTTCTACTTCCTATAATCGAAACAAAAAAGGGTAAAGTCTTCTTAAAGCCTAAAAGCTATACTCCCTACCCATGAAACAAGCTTGGGCAATTACTGTGGTAAATAAAGCAGTATCCTCTTAGTAAACAAAGTTTATAGTCATTTGTTGATTCAATTCAATGAACATTTACTGAATGCCTTAGCATTCTTAGCATTCACACTAAGCGCTACAGGCGCGTATCACAAAAATAACCCATGGACTCTCCAGTCTAGGGATGTTTAACAGACAAGCTTTAAAATCACCTGTTTATTAAATAGCTAATAATTAAACATATACCAGATTTTGGTCTCAAGGAGGTAAAACTGCTAAATGAGGTCCAGGTAACATATACAAAAGGTACCGTTAACTAGCTACTCTCCTCTCCACATGATGACACCTGAGCCAAGACCTAGGTGGTCTGGCAGACTCGGTCAGTCAGAAACTGAGGTCATTACAGGATGTGAAGGTGTCTAGAGAAGGCCCTTGGCTAAAAGGTAATAGACAATGCTGGCAGATAAAGCATAGGCTCAAAATGCTAGGCTGAGTTCTGCCTTATTATGTATGAAGATGGCTTTCAAAGAAAAGGAATGCCAGTATCAGAGGTGCTTTCAAGTTATTAGAAAAACAACAATGTATAAGACACTGAAAGGAAAAGAAACTAAAAGCAGAGAGCAGCTGAGGACAGTACCGTACTCTAGGCCAGAGAAACCAGTCCAATACTCAAAACCCACTGCCGTCGAGTCGACTCCGACTCATGGCAACCCTGTAGGACAGAGGAGAACTGCCCCATAGGGCTTCCAAGGCCGTAATCTTTACAGAAACAGACTGCCAGATCTTTCTCCAGCAAAGCAGCTGGTGGGTTTGAACTGTCAACCTTTCAGTTAGCAGCCGAGTGCTTTAACCACTGTGCCACCAGGGTTCCTTACTAGTCCAATAGCAGGAATAGAAGGATGGAAATTAATAGAAAATTACAGTAGTAATAAAATGTTTAATAATTTACAGGTCATTTGTTTTCTCAAACCCTTGCTCTGTATGTATCAACTCGGACTATTTTAGTAACAATGGTTAAGAATTCTTGAACTACGTCTATGAAGACAGTACAGCTAAATCATACAATACCACAGTTACCACAGGCGCCCAACAACTCCTTCTGGTTCTGCACCTTATTTACATGTAAAGTATAAAAGAAAAACACAGAACGGTTCCCGTACAGAACATGCAGATACATTTAAGCGATGATAAACTAGTACCACACTCGTTGCCGTCGAGTCGGTTCCGACTCACAGCGACCCTACAGCACAGAGTACAGCTGCTCCATAGGGTCTGCAAGGAGTGGCTGGTGGATTCGAACTGCTGCCCTTTGGGTGAGCAGCCGAGCTCTCACCACTGCGCCACCAGGGCTCCACAGGTGATGACAGCCCAGTCCCGTGCTATGAACACAGAGTGACTGCTGCTTGAACAGCAGACAAAGAAAAACAAGTTCAGAGGAAAGAATGGAAACAATATGCATGAGGCCAATCATTCTATTTGGCAAAGAGCTTTTTAAATTCTCATACGGAGAAACAGGAAAAACCCGAAGCTGAATTAACCAAAGCTGGGAATTTTACTACACACACACATAAAACGTTTAACATGTGGAGTAACAACGGGATGGAATGGAATGTTAGAAGTATACAAACCTTTAGGTAAGCAATATGATACTCTAAAAGAACTTGCACGTTTCCAATGCTCTCTTTAGTGCCAACAAATACAAACGGAACCATCCCCTGTAAGAAAACACAGCATTCTCAGTATTTAACATTTAAACAAAGCTCCAGTCTGAATCTGGCATACCGAGATATAACTTAGAAAACTTCTCTAAAGCACACAGCAATTTACATCTACTACATTTCAAGACTAAAAGAAACTCCTAAAGTCAAGAATGTGAAGGACTCAGATGTTCAACTTATCATATCCATGCTACTACGCAGTGTTACGTGTGCAGAAAGTTTAAGAACACAAATCATGTCGTAAAAAATAGTTTTCAACAGGTTTTCTCATTTCTAATTCAATCTAATTCCCAAAGTATATAAACCAACTTTGAAGAGATTTTCCTTCAAAATGGCATGAATTTACAGACTAGATTTATCAGCTTAGTAGTGACAGCTTTAAAACATAATAAAGCACTTGAGCCAACTTATCCCGACATTATGTGGTTAGGTAACAAAACCCTGAGTTTGAATGCCTGTGTAATGGACAGACAAGGTGCATCCTGACCATAACAGAAGCATCACCTACAGAATGTAAGTATTTACACAATATAAAATAATTACTGATACTCTTAACTATTAAAGCAAATCAAAGGATTAACCCAGACCCGGTTTATTTCACTGAATTTCATAATACTAAGGTTTTAAAAGGTGGGAGAGAAAAGAAATGAGGGCTAAATGAGGATCTTTCTTCTTTACAGAAACATACCTTCACCTTCCTACTGAGGAAATGATAGTCAAGCCTAAACGAACTCTCCAAATCTGTTTCACTGTCTCTCCTTATTTTCTTCATTTCACAGAATAATTCCTGACTGTTATTTAAACAGACTGGCTTAAAAAGGTTTAGTTCTAAAGATGGTTTCTATACATGAAACTATGATTTATTTCCAAACAAATTTTTTAAAATGGAAATTGGTGAATTTTGGACTTGGGAGAATTAAAAAGAAGAAAGGCACCAAGGCAGGTGCTAGGGATTCAACCGAACACAGCTATAGTGGATCTTGAAGTAAAGCTGTAAAGACTGTGCAGAAATCAGTACAACTACGAAGTATGAAACAAGGGAATCTAACCTAACCGCAGTCACTGAGGAGGCCTTGCCCTACTCTCAGGAATTCAAAGGTAGGTAAGACATTCAAAGCGAATAAAAGCCCATGTTTCCGGAACTATATGATGCATTCCACAGCCATATCTTATTGAATGCTCATTAAAAAGTTAACTTTAGGAAATTATTATTATCCCAGTTTTACACAATGAGGAAACTGAGGACATAAAATAAATCATTTGACCAAAGTCATGTAATTATCAACTGATACAAGCCGATTTCATATCCAGCTACCTAGTTCCAAATACCAAAACCAAACTTGCTGCCATCGAGTCAATTCTGACTCCTGGCAACCCCACGTGTACAGAGTAGAACTGAGCCCCACAGAGTTTTCTTGGCTATAATCTTTACGGAAGCAGATCACCAGGCCTTTCTTCTGTGGCGCTGCTGGAGGGGTTCAAATGCCAACTTTTCAGTTAGCAGACAAGCACATACCATTTGTGCCACCCAAAGACCTAATACCAAATAATATGTATTCGTAATTGCTAGGATCTATGCCAAGGTAGAAACTCTCAACTGCAAACTGAAAGGTGGGCAGGTTCGAACCCACCAATCGCTCTGCAGGATAAAGACGTGGCAGTCTGCTTCCATAAAGATTACAGCCTTGGAAACCCTATGGGGCAGTTCTACTCTGTCCTACAGGGTCGCTACGAGTCAGAATCGACTCCATGGCAATGGGTAGTAGTGTGCTAAGGTAAAGGGTTAATAAAACAAAGTCCTAGCCCTAAGGGTACTCATAATCTCAGAAAAGACAGTTAACATTCCTGTAATAATCTCACTGCACAGCAGTAGTGTTACGAACAAAAAACACAGGAATATTAGGTAAAATGTGAATTATGCCGCCCCAGGTGTGGAACATTGGGGGAATTCATCATAATTGACAGTATTACTGTGGACCTTAACAACAGAATCTCACCAAGTAGATAAAGAAGGGAAAGTCATTCCAGACAGATGGATCTGCACGGAGTAAGAGTAATACAATGCCTTGACCTTGAATGAGAGATGTTATCACCAACAGTTACCTCCAAAGAAAAGGAGGTGTGAGGACTCCTTAAAGGAATATATTTTACGGAATATTTTATTGGCTACTGTAAAGCCATAATAAAGAAAATTCAGAGTTAAATGATTATTACTGAATAAAAGAGTTCATTTCTAAGAGTTATTTCAGTGAAATCAGAAGGTTTTCAAAAATGCTAGAAACTGATTATTTTTATTTAATAGATGGCACTGAGACAACAAAGTAACACTCCAGGGGAAAAAAAAAACAGGATTCCTATTCCTGATAATTTACATCAAATAAATTCTAGCTGAAGAGAAAATATACACATTAAAAAATAAAATCAGAGAATAAAATTATGAATGGATTTCTGAATGATCCAGGAGCAAAAAAGACCTTGCCAAACATGACACAAAATCCAGAATCGTAAAGCAAAATATTATTTTTAAAAAATAACTATAAAAATTTTAAGAATCTACACAGGAGAAAATTCAAGTTAAAAGAAACAAGGAATATTTTCCGCACATCACCAAAAGACAAGTGGCTAACTTCCTTAGACACAGGGATTTTACAATCCAGTAATAAAAAAAGACAAAATTATGCAAAGGATAAATAGGCTGTTCACAGAAAAATAAAAAAAATGTCTTCTCAGCATGAAAAGATAACATGTACACCCTTTCAGAACGACAAAACCTGATAAAATCCAGCAGTGACGATACAGGAAAAGCAGCACATTTTCCCGTACTTGTGAAGGGAATGTGTGGGAAAATAACCAACAAAATCTAAAAATTTAAATACCACATACCCCTTTCATCTCACAAATCCACTGCCAGGCCTCTGCTCTGCAGTTACGCTTGGCAAGGGATGCTCAGTGCAGCACTGTTTGTGAAAACGTAACCTGACAACGGTCTGAGTCGCGACGGGGAGGGAAGGACAGCAAGGACAGGACGCAGACACGCTTTTATTTCTCAAGCTATACTGTTGTGCGCTATTCAATTTTTACACTAACACATTTCTTTTACAATTAAAAACTCAAACCTAGTTTTAAAAATCTTAATGATGGAAAACGTCTTTGAGGTGCCCACAATTCTAAGGAAGAATGGAGAATATGAGAATTCAGATTTGAATTCCTGACTTCAAGGCGTACATAACCTGGCTTGGAGACACAAGACAAACCAAAAAAAAACAAACAATGTAAGATGGAAAAAAGTCCATAAATACTCAATTAGACAATAACGCTACAGTACAGGCTAAGGGGTCACCGAAGGCTTCTGGTTACAAACTGACAGCTTAAATTGCATAATGGTGCCCTCAGTAATCCAAAACCCAACCTTCCAATCTGTTTTATTTAAGCACGGCTTTTTGTTTAAGCATGTATTTACACAAAAACACAAGTTTCCAGCTTCTCTTAGAAGTATCTCAAGAAATAGCAACACAAAAAGCACGTAACACCTGGCAACTGGCCTGGAGCTGAGCTAAACAAAGGCACCGCCCTCGCCGGCCTCATGACGTATACCTCAACCTCCCAGTCACTTCTACCCCCAGATGGCCTCTGTAATCCTTAACGCCAGCACAGAAATGGCAGGAACGATGGGCAACACGGCAAACACAGGCAAGAATCCAATAATTTCTTCTTTAGGAAGCAGGGCCTAGAAGAATTAGCTTACAACAAGATGGCGCATACTGGAAAACAACTGGGGATGATAAATTAGCATCAAGCTGAGAAATCTACACTCTAGCCATTCAAGGGCCCTGGCCAGGAAACATGATCTTCAGACCAACCTTCAGGTGGTGGTGGTCCACCAGATGGATCCTCATCATTTTACATGCCAAGGAGAAACAGAAGCAGCACTGATCACAATGGGACATCACTAAGTTGAAGCCTTACCTCAAATACATCCTAAAATCACGAAAGACGTACGTGTAGGGGGAGTTGTGTGTCAAGTTACAAACTTGTTTTGAAGGCGTGTAGGATGAAATCACCGGAAACAGCATTCCAAGTCACAACTACTCATTGGTATAATACTAACACATTTGTTTTTCTCACTCATTTTTAGGGGTATAGTCATCTCTACACCCTAACTACTTAAAAGGAATAAAGGAAGTGGCTATCTTTAATGGGTTTGTTTCCAACATCTAATACATGGTGTGAAGATATTTATGTGGGTTAAATGTCTACAGATTTTTCTTTTCCTTTCTTTTTTTCTGAAGAATGATTCTATTCAACAGGCTAACGTAAAGCTCCTCCAAACAGTACTCTACTGTGCGAAATTAAAGAAGGTGTGAGTGCTCTGTTTCTGGAGGATAATCTGGGCGAAATCCTTGCCTTATATTCAGGCACACCAAGTTGAAGTCAAGTATACAAACAGAGTTCACTGATGAAGCCATAAATGTGAATGAGATCCTTTAGTGATACAGAGGCGTACAGAACCACAGACAAAACATCAACATGTGAGAAGAGATTGTAAAAGAAAAGAAATTCTAGAGAAGTTGGGATTAGAATAGCAACATAAAAGCTTAAAAGAATTTCAATTAAGAAATGGTCCATGCTTTCAGATTTTACAAAAAAATCAAGGAGAGTATGATCTATCAAGAATTCCTTTATAACAGTCTGTCTTGTTAACTCTACAGCCTTACACGTTAAGTATAGAACAGTACTGCTAAGATTACCAAACTGAAATTTTTGTATTAAGAATTGGCTTTTTCTAAGAAGTTTCCTGAGTACAACCAAACACTTCAAGGGACAGAACTGTGACGGCACACTCCTCCTTTCCACCCCTGATTTCCCGTGTCCATTCAGCCAGCTCACCCTCTCTGCCTTCTCATCTCACCTCTGGACAAAGCTCCCCATAACAAAGTTTATTAGCAAAATGTTCTGCATCCTACTTTGGTGAGTGGTGTCTGGGATCTTAAAACCTAGCAAGCAGCCATCTAAGATGCATCAATTGGTCCCAACCACCTGGAGTAAAGGAGAATGAAGAACACCAAAGACACAAGGAAAGTATTAGCCCAAGAGACAGAAAGGGCCACATAAACCAGAGACTGCATCATCTTGAGACCAGAAGAACTAGATGGTCCCCGGCTACCACCAATGACTGCCCTGACAAGGAACACAATAGAGAGTCCCTGATGGAGCAGAAGAAGGGTGGGGTGCAGAACTCAAATTCTAGTAAAAACACCAGACTTAATGGCCTGAGACTGGAGGAACCCCAGAATGCATGGCCCCCGGACTCCAAGTCAACCCAGAACTAAATTCCCAAGGCCAACTCTTCAGACAAAGATTGGACTGGACTGTGGGACATAAAATGATACTCATGAATTGTGCTTCTAGCTCAAGTTGATACATGAGACTAAATGGGGAGCTTTGTCCGGAGGTGAGATGAGAAGGCAGAGAGGGTGAGCTGGCTGAATGGACACGGGAAATCAGGGGTGGAAAGGAGGAGTGTGCCATCACTGTACAGGGAGAGCAGTTAGGGTCACATAACAATGTGTGTATAAATTTTTGTAGGAGAAACTAACTCGAAATGTAAACTTTCACTTAAAGTACAACAATAAACAACCACAACAGAAAGGACTGGCTTTTTCACTGAAGTGCCGAGAAACCAGCCAAGAGCTCAGCCTCACCTTTCACACGACTGAGACACTGTTTTCAGGGGGGACGAGAGTGGGGGACAGGACAACACTGTACTGGAGTGTAAGCAGCTTACTATAAATGCAACGGTCTCAAAAACAACATCCAAAATATAAAATAAGTCAAACAAGAAAAGAACATGAAAAAAGGAGGAAAAAAAAGGCAACTTCAATGACGTTTTTAATACTTACATCTTCTCTAGGTAATTTATTTTCATTGTCTCCCTCAATTCTCACCCGAACCACACCAGATTTGTCCACTATTTCTTGAATAACTTTGCCATTTTTTCCAATTACTTTTCCTTTAATAAGAGAAAACAAATATAATGATAAATTAAAAACCAATACTACTATTCTTTCAGCACCGACCCAAATAATTTCTGACTTGCTATCAAATTATAACAAGCAAAGCTCCAACCTTTTTACTCTTCATTAGTTCACCCTAAAGATTACTGAGGAATTGAATCTTCAGTCTGATACTTTGTTCTTCAGTATCCCTATTATTAACTGGGATTTACAATGTTCCTGACATGTAAGACATTTTCAAAGACTAAACATTTTATAATCTGTCCTATAAAGCTTTTACAGTTTCACAACTTTTCTGAAGTCCAACCCACTTTGAAAGCCTGGATATACACACGAAGGTCAACAAGTACTTACTCTGTCGCTAACCGTACCATTTATTTTTAATAGGCAGAGCATTATTCACACTATTAACAAGCCCATCAATCTTGCTTTTATTTTCCTATTTCTATTTGTCCAAGATACCCGTGACCTGAAGATACCGTCAAAATGAATATCTCTTCAGTAAAACAGTAAGTTTACATGTAAACCGCGCTACGTCTTACACCGAGAAGCCAAGTGTGCAGAGGACCTCCCAGCTAGATGCAAGCACACCTAACATGATGTATGATATGCTCACTGCCTCGCTAGGGACGGAAACACTGTAAAATGACATAAAACTCAAATTATTTACCTTCTCCACACTTTAACCTGTGAGTCTGTCAAACAGCAATGATTGAGTATCCAATAATTAAAGAAGAAACTAAAAGAAGGGGAGGAAAACTCTCTTCCCTTGAGAAACTTGCTATCTAGTTATAAAAATAATAGACACTCATAAAATAAAAAAAGCAATACTGGGTAGTGTCACCTAGTAACAGAAGTAAACACTCAGGTAACCTTCACTTTATGGAACAGATGTAATCCTTGTAAAATTAACAGCAACACCTTATTTGTATTAAGTCCACATCTCCAGTCATTTATTTTATTAAATCAGCAATCCATTTCCACAGAAAAATTCCACAAACAAAATGAACTGTGGTTGAAAGAGGTTATAAAGGAAGTTTTCCCTACCACATGCTTAAAAGAACAGTTTCCATTAAAGAATGAGTAAGGGGACAATGGCAACAGTACGCTGGTCAAGACAACAAAGGCACTATCCTAGGTACGATTTTCTTACGCTCCTATTCCTATTCCCAAACCTCCTTCCTCATCAATAACCCTAAATTTAAAAGCGTCAGCAACTGAACAGGTAAAAACGGAGCAGGGCAGGGAAGCCACACGTGTTCTCTCGTCTGAGGAGCCCTAGCAGCAGCACATAAACTTCACTTTAGCACAGTGAAGCTCAAGCAGCAACTCCATCCTTGACCCTGCCAAAAAGAAGCAAATTTCTCTAAAAAACTAAAAATCACAATGTATCATAATCCCTCCCCCAGAATCTCTGCTCCTTCCTTCTTGTGAACTATTCCAATGGTGGGTGAACATCCACTACCCTTCTGGGGTCCTTGGGAGGGACCTACCTGCAAGTTTTATTTAGTCCCACCAAAGACTGTCAATACTTTAACTGATCATTTCCATCGTTTAAATTCCAGGGCATACTGACAAATTGGAGCAGACCTGTAGTATAAATTGAGCATAAATGCTAAAGGGACAGGGTAGAGAAGTGATTAAGGAAAGCTTTCAGGAGTTGAAACGCTTTGATCCATTTACAGATCAATGTTCACATATTCTTTTCTTCTTCTGATTTGGGAGGGGTGGAAATGGTTAAGTCCTACAACTCCTGGAACCCAAGTGCAAGGGAGAACTCTCTGGGACTGACCCACCAAGTGAGCCTCATGCCCTGTTACTCCTCAGTCCTCGTTTTTCTCTTTAACTTGGACTAAGAATTCCCTTTTTAAAAGACTGCTTCAACCATAAAGCATTCTGGAGGGAGATGTAGTAGTATTACACATGGCAATGAATGGAAATCTGTCCACTACCCCAGAGTATCTCACCAACATGTTTACTACTTGCTGCTACTGTGTATTTCCTAAAGAGCACACAAACAATCGGAACAAAAGCCAACCGAGACAGGGCAGAGGGAAGAACACACACAAGTACTCACATCACTGCACTGATGATAAAGAGGACAACCAGACAACCAGCATATCCACTTTCCTTATTTCTGAAATATCAAGAATCTCTACTCACTTCCACAAACTGTTTAAGACCAAAGCTATCTTCTATAGAAATGCTGAACGGGAAATAGCCCTAACCCCCTTGCGCACAACGACCCCTCCAGATCCTTTTTACACGGGAAGAAACCTAGTAACGGGAGATTACGTTCTGCAGAGCATCCACCACGTCAGTACTTGATTTAGACGAAAATAAATGATGTAAACAAACAAGGCCATTATTTTCAAAAGCTGCTTTCTTGTCACGTGATTTCAAATGACAATGATAATGATAAACATCCGACAGCATTTTGTACTTTACCATTTATAGAAGTTATGCGCAATTCTTGAAGCCTCTATTCAGTTCTAACATTTCAACTCATCTCTCCAGTTCAGTCTACAATGCAAACGGTCTACCAAGAACTGGTGAAGTGGAGCTCACATAATCGGCAGTATGTCTTATCTACCCAATCGTCTGGGCACAACTTAAGAATCAGAAGCTTTTTATGTAAACACTGACAGCTGAACTCCAAGAAACTGTCCAAATTCTCACACTGTGAACTACTGTCCCCGAGTCCACTACTCGTCACTGGCTGAAACAAACATCTCTTCATAATGGAAGCTTTTTTCCTCCTATTAAGTGTTTTACAAGATTTGACAAATAGAACTAGAGCTAAGAAATCATTTCCTAAAAGCAGTATAGGCCCAATTACATAAATGGTACCCAAGGGGCTGAAACAATTTTCTTAAGGTCAAAAAAACTAATGAGACAGTAGGTGACAAAAACTCATCCCCTTCCTAATAATTTCACTAATTATGTTGATGCTTCCTTATATTAAATGTTTAAGTTGATCACTGAGTATGTAACACTTAAAGCTTTCCCATTTGTCTCAAATCACATTTAAAAGGATAAATAGCACAGACGTAGGGCTTAGTAATAACAGAGCTATTAAACAACTCACCCCAAGGTATAATGCTCATTTAAAGTATAGCTTCGACCTCACATTTCTGTCACGGAACAGTCTTCACTGATGGTGTCCAAATCTTAATAACGAAACCTCCCCCTGTAACAGCACTGCGTGCTCCTCTCCTGCCCACGACTTCTTACCTTATTCTATGCCTTTGCAACAACCAATTATTACTTATTCAGGGCCTACTGTGTAGAAGCTTATTACCCTACTGTTAGTCCACTGTTACTTTTTCTTCTGCACTAAATAAAAGAAACAAAGTATCACAAACACCTCAAAAAACACTATCACAATTTTGATGGATACACGAATGACAATGACATTAAGGGATGAGAACAGGAAAGAGTCCACGGGATGAAAAGGTTAAAAAAAAAAACTAACAACAAACTGTTCTAAAAATCATGGGTCTTACTATTAGTGGGTCACCCTGTACAAAAGAAATAAATTATCTTTACTTTTTAACATATCACAGTAATACAGTCACACACGTTATCACCAAAAATGGAAAACAAGTATTGCTATCCAACTGCTGTACATAACTAAACAGAACACGGTATCAGACAACCAACACTCATTCTCCATTACGTCACTGTATGTAACTAAATAATTTTTAACTTATTAAACATTTAGTAAAATTACCTACCAACGAGATTCCTAGGAACCTGAATAAAATCCTCCACAAACTCCAAGAAACCTCTAGCCTTTTTTACGGCATCAGCACTCTGTAGAAGGGGGAAAAGCAAACGTGAAATCCAACCCTGAAGGAACCCATACCCCAAAGCAGAAACATAAGAAAGGAGACAAATCTGAATTATTATGCTCTACTAAAAGATTCTGCTCAGCTCACAAGAGTGACATTTCAAGTGAAATAATTTACAAAGACCTGAAAAATAAATAATAATAATCAGAGTAGTCATTAAAAAGTAAGGCTGAAAGAAAATAAACCATCAGTACTGTTGGAACCCAAAAATGCTAGAAATCTCTCAACTCTTTCAAGCTGTTGAGAAACTTTAAAATTACTTATGTTACACGACTACTTAAGTAGCCAAATTTTAACTCAATCCTAAGTACCCTGGTCCTGTTGTACTTTTCTAGGTGAATGATAAAAACATACTTTGATCAAATTGTCTAAACTGTCTGTGCTGTTTTTTGTTTTTAATTCACTCTCAACATCAAAAATGATTTTTTTAAAGCTGTTTTTACAGGTGCATTTTTTTTTTTTAGAAAGTACCTACTGATAAGATCACAAAAATTCATCATTCCTGATGGGTTCGGTTCAATTTTAAATGACCGGAGAGTAGGTGGGGGAGTCTTCAGAGGGAACATATACTTCTCAAACAACTGTCAACTTCCACTTTTACTATCTGTCTGCTAATAACCATAGGACACATTTACTGTGTGCTCACATCATACATCACAAACAGGAAAGATTTTCAAAACTTTATTCAATTCTCACAAACTCTAAGGCAAGCATTATTATCACCCCATTTTACAATGAGAACATTTCTGCAGGGAGGCACTCCATACCCCTTGGAAGAGGTAGCGACAGGGCTGCAGCGCAGACAGTACAGCTCGGAAGCATTTACTCTTGATTACTGTGCCACACTACCTACCTCTGAGGACTTCAGAAATAAAAAATAAGGCTTCTAGTCAGATTTACTGTATGACTCAAGCTTTTCACTAAGAGTTATATATGAAAACTCATATAAAAATGCTAAAAAGTAACAAAAAACCAATTCATTCATTTATTCTAATTTGGAGGATTGTCTCAATGAAAAGTCAGAATTTTACACCTAGGGAGTCCTCGCCTCACAACGCACTCCAGTTATGATGAAGTGCACCTGATGTTTGTTTGTTTGGTTTTTTTTTGGGGGGGGGTACATCTTATCATTAGTAATACGTACTACATACAGTGGTGCAGTGTGTTAATTTACTGATATTATCATTCTTAGATGTTCACTCGCAGACATGCGATTTTATGATTTACTGTTCAAAACACTGCCATATAGCAGGCTATGGCCTGGTCTACAATGAAGTTGGTGTCGGGAGCTGCAACGGATAGAAAGTTGGGCAACGTCAAACTCTTACGACAACACTGAACTGTGCACGCACATGACAGCCGTTGTGTTACGACAACGAAGCCAACGTTACTGCACGAGGCCGGCAGCACTAATCCTCTCCAGTGTCTCCTACCTTGAGAAGCATCAGCTGTTAACTGGAAGCCAAGAGTTGTTCAAGTGTCTCTACCTAGAACACCTGCACTGCTTATGCCCCAACAATACGTCTGATAATAAAAGGCAATAAAACTGGAAAAAGGCAGAAGGAGTCAGCTTAGGTCAGAACCAACTTCGGACGGAGTCGTTAGAACGGAGCCCCATAGGAAGTCAGGGACTACTGGTGTATGTATTTTTTTTAAGTACCTTATTATTTTCACATCCATGAAAATGTCACAATTAACCAGTGACAAAGCATTACCCAAATTCACATTCTACAAAAGCTATTCTATTACATGCTATTTACCACTGCCAGTGACTGGCACTCAGAAAGCTCTCAAAAAATATTTGAATAAATTACTTGTAATGGGCGTAAAACTGAGTTAAACTCAGCAGTTACAATAAGAAATTTCTGAAACTAGTACACACTAATTACTGAGAAAATCTTGCATTCCCCAAATAGCACAAAACGAACTTCAACCGACCTGCATAAGTAGATGGTTATTAGCTGACGGATCCTAAGTAACTAAGTTTCACTTAAAAGGAGCTGCACTGGTGTGGCGCAACGGATCGCTTTTATACAGTCTCGAAACTCCCACCAAATGACTGGATGGGGCTATGCAAATGAAGTGTTTGTGACCTGCCAAGGGGATTGGATAGCTTGTGAATAATGCAAGTAAGGTGCATGGCACCCTTCTGGGGGCAGGACCACGCAAATAAAGTACATGGAAAACTAACGAGGGAACTGGTCAGTTTTGCCAGCCTGCTAGGCTTAAAACGAGCTATCCCAGAGGCAGAGGAAGCGGAACCTCACTACCACCAAGAAACAAGAGCTAAAAGTGGAGCGTGTCCTTTGGACCCAGGATCCTAGCCTGAGAACCTCCCAGACCCAAGAGATAAACAGCTGAAAAACACCAGAGACAGCAAGCAGCAGAGAAACGGTGGCAACAGAGGCGGAACCAGGAGACGGACAAGAGACAGCACACTGAGCGTCCAGGCCCACAGAGCGAGAAAGCTGGGTGCCTCCGGGCAGGACGCTTGCTGGCAGAGTGGGGTGCCTACAGGCACTTGTCGACCCACGGAGCTAGAGAGATGAACACCTTCAGACCGAGGCTTACTGGCAGAGTGACGGTCCTCTGAGTGCTTATCTGTGGAGCTAAACAGCTTTATAACACTTGCCTGAGCTGGGGGGAGGCTGGACCAGCCAAAGAGGCCCCAGGGGCCAAGGGGCCAAGGGCCAGGGCCAGGCCTGCCTGTGGGCACGGCCGAGAAGCTGTCCTGAACAAAGAAGTGTATTCTGAGTCATTTCTGATCCTGAATTGTACCTGTTACTTCCCTAATAAACCCCCTAACCATGAGTCCTCTCTGGGAGTTGTGTGTGGCCACTGCAACAAATTATCTAACCCAGCAGAGGAGCAGAGAGTACCATGGGAGGACGACTAGTGTCAGAACTGGTAGAAATGTTGGTGAGAAGAGATGTGTCTAACCTCCACCTCACAGCAATCAGCCTTGGGCTACCGATGCTGACAATGATCCCCCACCCCCACCCTGTGAAGTTACAGGAGAGATCCGATGGCCTTGTGCCATTTTTATAGTACTGGGAAACTGAAATTCCAGATAAAAATAAATATTACCCAATAACAGACAGTTAAAGTGTTATAAATACAGTTAGCCAAAGCAGGAAAGAAAAAACAGCTTACCTCTCCATAGATTCTAAACGTTCCAGTATCTTCGTCTAGCTCAATAGCTGTAACTCCAGGAACCTTCCTAGCTTGCTGGATGTTACTACCGTGTGTTCCTATTGCCAGGCCCATTAGATCTTCTCTCACAACAAACTCCTCATGAAAAGCTGCTGCAAGTTGTTTCGTGCACTAGTAAAAGAAATAAATTATAATATAAAAGTTTTTTTTAAAGTTTTGTCAGTCTATTTAATTATGGTCATAGAAAACAGTAGTTCAAAGACAACCAACTTTCCAAAATTAATGATAGTCAGCTCTCCAATTCAGATGGTTCATGTTTCAAAATTCATGTATAAGTCTCTTGTTTGGAATGTTTAAATTAATAAGCACAATGTAAAATGTGTCCAAAGGATAAACAAAGTTCAATTTCTCTAAGTAAAGACAGTGTGTACTTGAACGTGTATTAGGCTGGCGGGGGTGGGGGCACACAGCAAGAAGACCAAGCATCCAAACAGCAAAGCAGTGGAGTGCCCTAGAACAGGACAACGATGGCGACAGTGCGTCTTTAACCACGTACTACGTGATGCCCCACGCCTTGTCCTATTGTCCTCTTACACCAGAGGTGTCAAGGTCAAGCAGCTGTTGAGGGAAGTGTGGCATGACTGACAGGTGACGGGGAGGTAAAAACGTTAAGGACTGAATCAAGAAGAACCAGCAATACAGCTCTACTGAGCGTTCCTTTCAGTTTCTAAGCTCTTTGGCAACTATCATCTAATCCTGACCAGAAAAGTCAGCAGGCATTTAGCAAAACAAAAGGTTATGTTTGAGAAAGTAGAGAAAAGCAATTCTTCTTAAGAGGCAATGACACCAAGTATCAACCACAAAACAGGTCCTGAGCTGCCTTATCTAACAGTCAAGTAGTTTGAACCAAGGAACCTGAAGAATACGCTCATGAAACAAATGGGACACAGAAAAATCTTTTTAAGGGCAAACCCACTTACTTCTAAATGCTTCGTGGCCTCTTCATTTCTGGACATAAGCATCAACTTCGTACGAATACTTCGCAAATGCATGTCACTTAAAATATTTACTCTCTTCACAGTTGCTTCGCTGGCGGACTATAAATGAACGAATTAATCACTCGAAAGCTTAATGACTTTTCAAAACACAAACACAACCTTCTACGAGACGCCTCCCTGATTCTCATCTACTACTCTTCTCCCCTCACTCCTAACTCCACAAGTAACCTTTGTTTTCTTTCTGAATTCCCAAATTATTTAGATCTGATATTAAGAATATGTTTGGGGGGGGGGTGGTTTCCAGGATCCCACACAGTAAGAATGTTATGATATTAAGAACTTTATTTTTCTCCTTACTCCAGAAGAGATCAAAAAAGCAATCATTTTATAACTACAAAAATTTTTTTCTCCCATACTGTGTTGTCAAAATCACCATACACCAAGTTCACCTTAGCTTTTATTTTTGAAACATCTACTGTAAAATCTGTACCACACCCATTAGCTACCTGAAATATGCTGCTATCTTACCAGTATCATTAGCTGTGTGGTTTCTGGATGGTAAAAAATTCTGCATGCGCCTACTGCTTTCTTAAAATCTTTATGTGCGTTTTCATTAGCACACCTAAAGAGAAATTAATTCATGTGTGAGACCTCAATAATAGACTAAATTTAGAGAGCAGTTATAATGCAAACTTAGCATTCCATTTTGGCATTCCCCATTAAAACCTTTGTTTATTAAAAAGATTTTCTATCAGAAGGTTTTGATTGGGTGACCGGGGAAAAAAGATTTTTGGAGCACTGAAAAATCCTCTTAATTTGCAAAGCAATTCAACAGTAAACAAAATTACTCACGCCTCTCTCAAATCCTCAGGAACATCCACTGTGCATTTAAAGAAGGTATTTTTTTTGACAGTTTTATTTTGATTGACAGGTCGAAGTCGTTCAAATGTGACTATTTCATTGTAAGTAGCATCGCAAGCAGCATATTCAATGACATAAAACTAAAAGACACCAAAATACTTTAAAATCCCATCTGAACAAAAAGAACGTTCTTCAAATGAAGTTCTAATTACCTGGCTCGGCCCAACCAGCAGACCCTCCCCCTTGTGGCTCAAACACTAAGCAGAGCTTAGTCACATCAATCTGATTCGCCTCAACTAGATCCTAGGTTTTCACAGGGCATGAATCTCGATGGTCCTCACATGCTTGGGCTGTGCCTCTGGAGCGCAGCGTTGGTGTTTGCAAATACAGAACACAAACAGAAATTAATGGTCTAATGGATTTTTCAGACGTGTAATTGACTGTTCTGAAGCACGCCTTTAGAAACAAAACTAAGAGCTGGAGTTATGAAATCTCCCCTTGGCAGAAGGTCACAAAGCCGACGGCTGGCGTCACTTACTTCTCCTTTCATCATCCTGACTTTTGCCAGCCACCATCCACACGGCTCTTGCTCATTCGCTCTTGAATAGACCTGTGGGGAATCCCAAAAGCAGTGATATAGATCGGAACTTGTCAGGAATGCCAAATCCCAGTAAACTCAAAACTCGGCGCCCTCACGTCGATTCCAACTCATGCGTTCTCCAAGGCAGAGCAGAACTGCCCCAGAATGTTTCCAAGGCTAAACCTTTATGGAACTTGGAGCACTGAGCACACACTTAATGAAAACATGTACACTTAAATTTTACTATTGAAAATAAAACTGAACCCTTTTTGGGCAATCCGGCTTCTCGGAAATCTGAACAATTCTTCTTCCTTTATTCCAAATTCATGGGAGTTTAGAAAACCTACATAACAGTCCTATTTTAAAGAAATGCTTCGTACAAGGCACTTTTACACAGTATAAGACATGGGTCTTCTCAGGTTCTGTCAACACTATTTACATAAATTAAGAACTGTTTTCAGAAAGTGATAAACCCATTTTAAAATTCCTTCAAAGATATGATATTTAGATCTCTTTAAGGAACTTAAATGTACTAAAATTTTAGCTAAGCAACAAGAAAAATTTATATACCATCAATTTTATTAACATGAGGGATTAGAAAAATTTTCATCAGGGATTAGAGTTAATTCAAATGATACAGTAGCTTGTTTGATGCAATTTCAGTACATGGAAAATGGGGGGAGGAGTCTGGGAAGAGAGAACTAAGAAGAACCCCACAAAAATCTTGACTACAGAACTAAGGCTGCTCTTGGAGAAGAGTAAATATTGTATTTTTAAATATACACATTTAAAAATGTAACATTTTATTTTTAAAAAGATAATCTCCTGTAATATTTTACTCACTGAACAAAGCCAAGTATCTTATAAAGAAGACAAAACACCTCAAATGTGAAATCACTGAGGGCCGGTGGGGGGGGATTTCTACTGCCCTCCCCAATGACTCTGAACATCGTAAATCCAGCTTAAGAGAAAGTAAAGAACATTTCAATTTCACATTGCCTTCAACCTTATAAGCTAGCATATTTTATATTTTCTTAGTCATCCCTAGTTAGCAAAACCACCCATAAAAGCAAATACTTCAAATGGCTTGCTGACGCCATTCCTAGACCACGACACTATTTAATGTGCTGTAACTTCATCTAAGTCTCAGAAGCTGGCTGGAAAGGCACACCTAGCCATCAAGCAGCCAACATACCCATAAGAAACTGTCAATATTCAATAATCTCTGGCCTCCAACAGTGGAAATTTCACACAGTCAACTTTAAATAAATGCCTGACGAGCTCAACGGGAAGCTCTCTCTTGGGTCATTCTTGTTCTAAACTTATTTTAAAGAAAACGACCAAACCTGTCAAGTCGATCCTGACTCATAGTGACCCTACAGAACACAGTAAACTGCCCCATGGTGTTTCCAAGGAGCCGCTGGTGGATTTGAACCGCCAACCTTTTGGTTAGCAGCTTGAGCTCTTAACCACTGCACCACCAGGGCTCCTCTAAACTTACTACCGAAGATCAAATCAAAGTCACCTTTCCCTTCTTCAGAAGAAAGGTTCATGGGGCTGCGAAAGAACAAGAGTTGTGAATCTACCACAAAACTGACCATACCCTGTGAACACATGATAACGTACTCGAGAAGAACAACTGAACCTACTAATCAGCTTCCCAATCTTCAGGCTACGTGACTTTGGACAAGTTAATAAAGTTATTTGGTAGCACAGAAGCAGCCTTCGAGAGACCATTATGTTAAACTGGGATAATCTGTTCGAAAAGCCTGTTAGTGCTATACAAGTTGCAGCTTACGGCTGCTATTAAAACATTTGTGACTAGCAGAAAGAGAAGAGTGGTCGATGACTTAAATAAAAAATTGGCATACAGGTAAGTGTTCGACTGACAACAGGGTTTCCTGTCATAAGTCGGTTCTGACGTAAATCGAATACCTCTCTTTTTTTCAGTTTTCATTATGATTGCCTTTATTACCAGTATCTTTCTAAATCCAATCTCTGAACATATGCAAGTGAACATGTAAGAATAAAAGCAAATTACACGCTGCAACACTGTATGCAGTACACATCACCAACAAGATGTACCAAAAAAACAGTTACACAGACGGTCGTTAACGTGAATAACTTTTAAGTCGGAAACTGCTTGTACTAAAAATATTTTAGGCAATAAATTACCCTGGAGAAAAGTATCAAGTTAGATAGATTAAAAACCTAAATACTTAAAACAAAACAAAATGTCTATAAATACTTTTTTTAAAAAACCTGCAGAAATTCTAAAGAGAAAATCTTGGACAGCCACACAGAAAAATGGACAGATCTCAACAGATAAAATTATAACCTGTTAATGGCAAAAGCCAAATAATTTCTTAAAAACTGCTGCGGAGAAAACAACATACAACATATAAAAACCTTCATCCATAAAATGCAAAGATTTCCTACATCAAAAACTATGTGAGCGAAAAATGAGGACAATCCACAAAGCAGGGACTAACAGCCAATAAATTAAAAGACGCTCAGTATCATTAGTGATCAAGAAAATGAAAACTCACGAGACATACTTTCCATTCACCAGATTTACAAAATGTTAGATTAAAATAATCCAGTCAGTAAATCTATGGAGAAAGTAACAAACTGACACCTTTATGTAACAGTAAAATTATGTAGTAATTCAAAAATGAAGGAGCCATGCTGGCGCAGTGGTTAAGTGCTCAGCTGCCAACAAAAAGGTCAGCGGCTCAAACACATCAGCGGCTCCACAGGAGCAATATGTGGCAGTCTACTTCCGTAAAGATTACAGCCTTAAAAACCCTATGGGGCAGTTCTACTCTGTCCTATATAGGGTCGCTATGAGTCGGAATCAACTCAACAGCAACCAGCAGGTTTTTAATTCAAAAACAATGACATCTGTGAAGGACAATCTGGTACTATGAAAATTTTAAGTATGCATGCCCTTTCATTCAGCAGTTGAACCTCTTGAGATCTGTACTACCAGAAGATTTACACAGGATGCTAACGCTGGCATCTTTTTTGTAGTAACAAAAAAATCTGCTAATAATTTCAAGGTCTTCTTAATTATGATACATCCATACTAAGAAATATGACCGTGTACTTAGAAAGAGTTAAGTCTGTATGTGCAGACATGAAAATGTCTTGATGTTCTAATTAACTGAATACCAAAAATCATAAATATATATTCTCAATTTTTACAACTTGAAAGAAAACAACAATACATACTGTATATAAATGCAAAAAAATGTCTGAAGAGACACTAACTCTGAGAAATGAGATTTACACTGGGGTGAGCAGGCAAGCACATCTACACTAAGAGGGAAGATTCACTTTTGACTTTGTATAATTCTGAATCACTTCATTTTCTACATTAAGCCCTACTGCTTTGAATTTAAAGGGCAGAGGCTTTCAAAAGTTACCTGGTTCAAAAAAACAAAGCTTCAACAACCAGAATTCCTAGACATTCCAGGTCATATGGACAGCTTCCTAACAAATGCTGACCAAAACAACAAAAAACAATCCATGAGTGGCAAGATTAAGCTTAAACTTCTTTCCTGACATGTACTTTCAAAAATTTCAAAAGAAGAAAAATAAAAACAATGACATCTTAATTTCAGGTGATGACTCTCAAACTGCAGACAACCTTTACCAAGACCGAATCCCAAAACACAAACTGAAATACAACCCTGTGAAATCATCCATTTCCCTCACATCAGTGTTCCGTGTGCACCTGGGGAGAAAGGGCCAGAGGGACAATCCAGGAACAGGACAGCACGCTGCAACACCGCCTCAGCCCCCATCAGCGAGGGCAGCTTTTCCCTTAACCTGAGCTTTCACACTACCAGTAAGCGCCTAACCAACCAAAAGAAGCACGAAAAGCACCACTCTCACAACCGACTACCGTTACATTTCTAATTCTAGAACATCTCCAAATCTAAATCATTCTTTGGCTGACGACCTGACTCATCTCCAAAATTCCGTAAGAAAAAAACTAAAAACAAATTTTGAAAAACGAAAACAAATAAAACTCTCTTATCCATCCTCACACAAACCTGTTAACTACAAAAGGATACAATATTGGAAAACAACATTTTCACTGTAGTCTGAGGTCCACACGAACATGATACAGTGACAGCAGCATCACTGCTTTAAGCCATGGAGCGCACCAAGTATCCAGCTTCACACTCCTGGATTTCCAACAGCTAACGTTTCCTCACACCATCATTTACACTTCCCTCAAGAACAGGCAACCTAGATGCCCATCAACAGACGAATGGATAAACAAAGTATGGAACACAGACACTGTACTAGGCAACGATAAAGAACAGTGATGAATCCGCAAAACGTATCCTAACATGGATGCATCTGGAGGGCATTAGGCTGAGTGAAATCACTCAGTCACAAAAGGACAAATATTGTATGAGGCCACTAGTACAAGAACTCAAGAAAAGGTTTACACACAGGAAAAAGCATTCGTTGATGGTTATCGGGGGGAGAAAGAGGGAGAGGAAATCACTACCCAGATAGTAGACAAGCGTCAACTTCGCGACGGGAAAGCCAACACACAATACAGGGGAAGTCAGCACAACTGGACCAAAGCAAAGCAACAGAAGTTTCCTAGACACATACGAACACTGTGAGGGACCCAGTGGCTGGGGCCTGAGGACCAAAGTCTTGGGGGACATCTAGCTCAACTGGCGTAACAAAGTTTATAAAGAAAATGTTCTACATTCCACTTTGGTAAGTAGCGTCCTGGGTCTTAAAAGGCTGAGTGGCCATCTAAGAGATACATCTATTGGTCCCATCCCACCTAGAGCAAAGGAGAATGAAGAAAACCAAAAACACAAGCAAAATACTAGCCCAGAGGACTTAAGGGCCGCATGAACCAGAGACTCTACCAGCCTGAGACCAGAAAAACTAGACGGTGCCCGGCTACTACCAAAGACCCCCTGACAGGGATCACAAAAGAGTCCCAGAGTGAGCAGGAGGAAAATGTACAACAGAATTCAAATTCACCTAAAAAGACCGGATTTACATCTGACAGAGACTGGAGGAGCCCTCAAAACTATGGCCCCCAGGGAACTCTGCTAACCCAGAACTGAAACCATTCCTGAAGCTCATTTTTCAAAGATTAGACAGGCCTATAAAACAAAAAATACCACACGAGGAACGTCCTTCTTAGTTCAATCAAATACATGAGACCAAACGGGCAGCTCCTGTCCAAAAGCAGGACGAGAAGGCAGGAAGGGACAAGAACTGGATGAACGGACACAGGGAACTCGGGGTAGAAAGTGGGAGTGTGCTGTCACATTGTGGGGATTACAACCAGTGTCACAAAACAATAAGTATATAAATTTTTTAATGAGAAATTAACTTAAGCTGTAAACTTTCACCTAAATTAAAAAACAAGAACAAAAACACACACCTAGGCTCCAGTTAAGGAGCCCTGGTGGTGCAATGGTTAAGCACTCGGCTGCTAAGCTCACCGAGAAAGGTCGGCAGTTCGAATCCACACAGCAGCTTCACAGGAGAAAAGATCCAGTGATCTGCTCTGTAAACATTATACAGGCTAGGAAACCCCATGTGGCAGTTCTACTCTGTCATACAGGGTCACTACTATGAGTCAGAATTGACTCGACAGCACACAACATCAGAGTCCAGTTACAAGTCTCCCTTACAAAAAAGTACTTAGCATTCACTTTTGGTAGGAGTCAACTATAAAAGAAAAATGTTTGAGTAAAGTGAACACCTTAACATTAAGGGGTGGGCTCACAAAGCCCTGACATAATTAAGAACTTAAAACATACTCTGATTTAGTAAAAGCAAAATAGTGCACAGATAACTCAGAGCAAGTAATTAAAATTCAGGCAGAATTTTAAAATGGAAACGAATTTAGGTTGTCAGGAGTTAAAGTGTCGCAATTCTTTCGCTTCCTAGCATAAAGTCTACGATTAACGGGAGTTCAAAAAAAATTATCATAAAAAAAGCTAATGAAAAATGAATTAGCAGATAACTAAATGAGTTCATCTACAAAGTACTCAGAAAAGGGGCTGGTACAGAGTAGGTACTGTAACTGTGACAAGTCAGACAGCTACTTCATCAGTGAAGTTTCCCCCAGTCACCCTACCCCATCCTACATAAACTAGGTACTAATAAGATCTGAAACTCTATCCCTTTTATTAATATTACCATGCCAGCTCCCTAGGAGAAATCTATTAAGCATATCTGAGTACCTTGGATAAATGGTACCAACTTCTTGAAAACTAAAAGTCAAATTTTTTCTATCAAACTCATTATACATTTATTTGACAAGTGTTTTCAAAGTTTCTTTTTACATAACAGCAGACACGTGAATCAAGAACAGTAAAATACTGGAGAGAAATCCAGGATCTACTAAGCATAAAAGAAGCAAGTTACAGCAATATAACACGATCCATTTTTATTTTAAAAAGAGACAGGGAAAAGCCTAGAAAGATATGCAAAATATGAGCAGTAGTTTTTATCTCTGAGTGGTGGAATTCTCAGTAATTTTTGTTTTGCTTTTCTGTGCTTTAAAAATTTTCCACAAATATTTCTAGACTATTCAACAATGCAATACACTATTATTAGAATATTTCACGCTACTATATGAATTATATTAACGATCACCATAATAAAGGAAGGCAACTACCAACATCTTACACAGCTACCAAGGCAACCTTTTAAAGAAACCAGCAAAAACAAAAGAAAAACGCTACCGACCCTACATGGTTCTCTGTGCCGCACTCTGTGCAAAACACTTCAAACGCATTATCATATTTAACTCTAACTATTTTCGTTTTAGTGATAAAGAAACTTGACCAAGGCCACAAAGCTAAAAATGGTAGATCTGGGACAAATATCCAGTTCTGACTCCAAAACTCCCCAAGCACTGCTACGTTACACAACCTTTACCAAGAGGAAGAGGAAGAGAAAAGAAACTAGGCTTATTCTTCTTCGGCTGAACAGATTTTCTTACAAGAATATTTAAAACAAAAAAATAGGCACAAGAAAATAAAAATACATACCTCTACTTCATCTCCTTCACTAATTTCTTTTTTTATATCAGGTGGTGGAGGTAATCTAACTTCATTAAAGGGAACCTGGCGTTCTGGTTGCCAACTGAAACATTGAAAAAGGAAAAACTAATTTTAAAAATTATTCTAAGAGCCCCTAATATGAAAGCTATACAGTCTGTGCTTAGTGCTGAATATTGTGCAAGTTAATTTATCATTTACCTTTCCCTAAAGAAGAGCAACTTTTGATTACATATTTTTCCAGTAAATAATTAGCTGTCAAGATAAAACAGATTTTGTATGACTCTTGGTGAAGTGTATAATAATAAATATCGCCATTAATCACGATCTATTACCTTCCTAATTACTCATCCTATGCAGGGAACAGTGCACACAAGATTCTGCAAATGAACTCGGCCGAGTTCACAGTGATAACTTACTCAGATTTGAAATAATGTCGTATCCACACGGCTGCCAAATAAACAGCAGTGGGATCAACTTATCTCAAACACTTTTACAACTACATGAGGTCTGTCAAAAAAGGACACATTTTCACAGATTACAAAATAATTACATATGTAAATTATAAAATTCCTTTTTAGCATACATGCTCACAAAAATGGAACAAAATTAATCATGGCTTAAATAGTTGCATTAAGCTAACTTTTAATCTCTGGCTAACATGAATGTATTAGACTACTAATTTAGCTGTTGCTTAAGCGATACTTCCGTGTTGTATTTTATAAACTGAGTGAATAAAGTTAAAATTTCTTTACTGCTCTAAACTCTCGTCAGTCATTCACAAACCTGGAAGGTACTCCCGCAAAGAAGTTTTCCTAAAGCTTATCTGACGATGCTATGTGCAAAGCAGCAACTGACAAGAAAAACATTTGAGCGCTTTCTTTCACCATTACTTTCAAAACAGGAGTTGCTCAAACGCAGAAATCTCAATGCTTGTTTCTACATGAAGCAGCTGTTGGGCAGAGAGCTTTTTTAGGCAGTTCTTGAAGCAGCTCGGAAAGTGGAAGCAGAACGGTTCTTTTCTAATCTTCAATTAAACGGTGCTCTTCCATAACCCTTCCTAACTAAGTCCAATATATTATCGTTTCTGTATTTATAACACCATTTTAAGACTACCTAGCCCTTACAATAACTATAAAACTGACAGCATCTCCTATTAATATTAAACAATTCAAAGATGCAAAATATTTATTCTCACTACCAGAAGCCATTTGGAGGGCCTTCTACAACATCATTTCAACATTATGGGTTTTTAAAATTAAAGCATATTGTAATTTCATTTGTGCCATCGATTTCCACATAAACTACTGATTCATGTCCCTATGTTTTGGAAAACATGTTTTTAAAAAAGTAATGAGTAAATTAAAGGCACAAAAATAAATAAAGGGGTGTCAAAATGAGACACGTGAACTCATGAGATGAGCAAACAACCAAGGGTCCCCTCCCAAAAGCGAAATGATTCTTCCACTGGCAATGGGAAATCCAAAAGCAAGCAGATCCTTAAAATTAAGATTTCCATCAAGAAAAACAACTTACTTATTTTCAAAAACAACTGTGAGGGAGTCTTCATGAACATCTTTGATAAATCCCTGCAAGAAACAAAACTATTATTAAAAGCATACTGATATTCAGTTATTTGTTAAAAAAGCTGTATTAGAAATACAAACGCAATATGGAATACTGAAAAGAACACAGGGTTTGGAATTAGGCAAATCTGGGTTTGATTTCTATCGCCACCATTTACGAGATGTATGATCTTAGGAAGTTAGCCCTATGAGCCTCAGTTGTCACAAAGTATCATCTACCTCAGAAAGAAGTTTAAAAAATAAATAAATGTCCATCCCGGGAACATCCCAGGTATTAAGCCGATAGCTGAACTGAGTAAGGCAGTCTTCAGTACTGCAATCAAGAGCTCAGGCTTTAGAGCCAGGCTGCCGGGATTCACATCCTAGTCCTAACACATAACCTCAAGCATACTTTTAACCTAATGGAATTAACAACATTGTCAGACTTCATGGAATTACAAGAAATAATTCATGTTTAGCAAAGTCCCTGGCACAGAGTAAGCACTCACTTTTATGATAAATTAATATTAGATTATAAATACTAAATTATAGCCCATCTTTAATAAAATACATGTTGAACACTAAACTTTCCAATTAACGAATCTTATTTTTCCTATCAACTCCTCTTTCCCTTCACTTAAAAAAACTTGGGCTTCAGTGTGTACCTTGCCTCAAAACCAATTTAAAATGAACATATGTAAATAGATTCACAATGAAAATCAATGGTCATTTTCTAGCCATAAAGTCCATGTTGGAATTAGTCTGTCTACTCTATCTTCACTTGATTACTATAAATGAAAGAACTCAGTGAAGATCCGACACACTTAAGAAAGAGCAAAGGACGTGGGTGTAGAGTGAGCGTGGTTCAAACACTTGCCCCACCACTATGTGACAACCAGGAAGCTATACAAGCACTTAAATGATCACAATTAACATTAAATGACACTCGGTTACTGTCAGTCAATGTAAGTCAAATGCTCTCACACACACCTTGAACCACTGGTACTTTAGTAAATACTTTCCTAAAGCATCTTCATCACACTAGACTCTATAATATCCACTAAAAAATAAAAGACACACACATACACAGTTATAGACTAAACTGTGTTCCCCAAAAATATGCGTTGTAGATCCTAACCCCCATACCATGGACAGGAGCCCTGATGGAGCAGCAGTTAAGCATTCAGCTGCTAACCAAAAGGTCGGTGATTCGAACCCACCAGCCACTCCACAGGAGGAAGATGTGGCAGTCTGCCTCCCTGAAGACTGCAGCCTTGGAAACTATGTGGTAGTTCTACTCTGAGTCGGAACTGACTGGGCGGCAATGAGTTTTTAGTATACTACGGACATAACTCCATCTGGGAATAGTTCTGTCACAGTAATGAGGCATATCAGTGTGAAGTGTGTCTTACGGCAATTACTTTCGAGATACAAAAGGAGATTAGGCACAAAAGCAAACAAGCAGGAATGGGGGAAAGACAGGTGCCACGTGGAGATCTCCGAGGTATGACAGAAAGTTGAGACAAGGATTTTCCCACCGAGCAGACAGAGAGAGCCTTCCCATAGAGCCTGAATTTGGACTTCTAGCCTCCTAAACGGTGAGAAAATAAATTTGTTTGTAAAAGACACCCACCCACTTGTGGTGTCTGTTACAGCAGCACTAAGACACGTACATGCGGAGTACTTGGTTACCTCATCTCCCCAAAAGCCCATTCAAAAACACTAAAGGGAGTTTAAGGCATAAACACACACATTAAAAAAAAGACAAATTTGCAAAAAAAAAAAAACAAAAACAGGAACTTCACGAAGCAAATAGAAGAGGAATAACAGCAACTAAAAACAAAGCAACAACTACTAATATTTAAATGTGTCAAACAAATTAGCAAATCTAAGACTATGAAACGATCTGGCAGTGGGAAAAACCAAATGTAAGCAGATCGGTACAAAAAAAACAAACAAACAAAACCCACTGCTACTGAGCGAGTTCTGACTAATGATGACCCCACATGTTACAGAGTAGAACCGCTCCACGGGGTCTTCTTGGCTGCAATCTTTACAGAAGCAGATCACCAGGTCTTTCTTCCGTGGCACCAGTATGTTCCAAGCACCAAGTTAGTAGGCCAGCGCAGTCTGTGCCACCCAGGAACCTAGATAAGCACAATACAAAAAAAAGCCCACCAAACCCGGCTCACAGCAACCCTACAGATACAAGCACTACACACACACACACACACACTCAGAGACACAAACGTACAAATATTTAGACTAGATATAGACAAGCACTATAATCCTAGAAAATCTCTGAAACTAAAGATACAAAATACTGGAGGAGAGAGCGTAACAGACGGGTGTGAAAATAAAATCTGTCGTTTTGTTTTAGATTACCAACTGCAGGTGGTGCAAACTGTTAACGCAGCAGTACTGTGAAGAAAGGTCTGGTGATCTCCCTCTGTTAAGATTACACCAAGAAAACCCTACAGAGCAGTAATACTCCGTAATACATGGGGTCACCGTGAGTTGGAACTGACTCGATGGCAACAGGTACCAGCTGCAGAATGTGGGAAACTCCACGGAGGATAAAGTCACTCACTGCTCCCCGCAATGTTTGCTACTCAAGGGCATTCCTTTGTCATCTGTCCTTGATCTCTCCAGCTCCTCGCTACTACCTGTCGAGTGTGTGCTGTGGGCATCTGCATGCAAACAAATATCCTCATGTGAAGCTTAAATCTCAAGACACCTTGTTGGGTGATTCTCCTACAGTAGCTCCAGCCTTGTAATTCTGAAGACCCTTTTTTATTTTTTTCTCTTCCTCTAAATGTAAAAATAGCTGCCATCCCAGTCAGGCTCTGATTAGTTGACCTTAGTATAATATAATGACCTCCTGGCCAGTTTCTCTATTTCTAGTAGTGCATCCTACATATTCACTTTCATGGTTATGGTACTAGTAAATCTATCTCTGTTATACCACTGACATTCTTCAGGAATATTCCAGAAACAGAGCATCTCAAAACTCAGTAATATTAGTAAAACATTTCACATCAGAGGTCAGTTGTATTCTCAGCTTTCACTAACATTGTCTTGTCCTTGACAACTTCTCAAGAGTCTGGAAAATTTCACAAATCAATTTTTCTAATTTCTGTATAATATATAGTGAATTGGTTCAAGACAGAACTCCAAACTACTAAGAAATTCTACTTTTCATAATAATAAAAACCTTTTTTCTATCTAAACACTAGTGGTTACACCTCTTGACTTTACCACAAACATCAGCACCGGTCTTTTTGGGGGGTGTACTGTTCACAAACCTAAAAGAAAACACAGCTCTGAACACCTGTTCTTATTGATAACATCCTTCTGGCATGAGATTAACAAGAATAAGGATCTGACACTCAATCCTTGAAGTTAGAAGTATCTGGACCTCAGTGAACATTCAGAAACATATTCTAATCTCCAAACCCTAGATTCTATAGATAATGTACTTCCAAAATCCAGATTCTAGGGATAAAATACTTGTAATGGCCAAATTTCTATAAAATTGAGTTTATCTGATACAGGACACAGTCAAGAGTTTTAACGATATTTTTGCACAATCCAACCCAACAGGATGATGCTCCATCCCTATATCCTCAAGAGAACCCCAAAATGGAAGGTTTGGGTCTCTGTCAGTATCTTTGGGCATCAGGAGACACCAATTACACTGGCACCACTTGTATGCACATGGCACAGAGGCTTTATGCCTTCAAGTCTCCATAATTTCCATCCTCCCTGTGTTAGCCCAACCTTTGGTGTGTATTCCTATTCATATTCACCTGGCCCAGGACGCATACTCTGCAGAACAAAACCACTGACATTTCTTTTTCTTCTTCCTATAGCCATGGAAGATTCCAAGGCATAATTACAAAGTGACTGTTTAATCTGTTCATTCATACAGTTCAGTATATGCTTACATTTGAATCTTTTAACTATAATTTAAGATAATCATCAATAAATAACAAGGCAGTATAACACATCTGAAGAATGATCGAAATATCTTAAAATTTTATCCCTATAACAAAAATAAAAACAAAAAAACCCAAATCCATCACCGTCGACTCCGACTCAAAGCAACCCTATAGTACAGAGTAGAACTGCCCCATAGGGTTTCCAGGGAGTGATGGATGGATGCAAACTGCGGACCTTTTGGTTAGTAGCCAAGCTCTTCAGCACTGTGCCTATCCCCATACTCCCGACAAATTAACAAATATGGCATTATACAGGAAAAAACAAAAACAAAAAAACAGAAATGCGATAGACTGAATGTCAACTTGAATCAGAAGGCAGGCTGAAGGGAACAGCAGGAATTCCTCAGCAGTGGAGGCACTGGCTGAAGAACTGATTTTTCAAAAGCAGTCTACACTAAAACAGAAATGAAAACAAAAACCTTCTTAGTCCAAGGTTTACTAAGGTGGCAAGCTACCGTTTGACAATTAGCTTTCTAGATACAAACAATAACCAGCTGGGGAGTAAAATGTACCAAAAATATACTTAGAATAAAAACCAAATCAGTTGTAAAGTCAAGTCGATTTCAACTCATGGCAACCTCGTGTGTTAAGAGTAGAGCTGTTTCATAGGATTTTCTTGGCCATAATCTTCATGGAAGCAGATCTCCAGGTCTTTCTTCCGTGACACTGCAGGGTTGATTCAAAGCGCCAACCTTTGGAGTAGTAATGGAACACAAAGCATTTGCGCCACGCAGGAACCTTTACTTACAATAAAACCAAAAAAACTAAACCCGCTTCCATCAAGTTGATTCTAATGCACAACGACCCTACAGGACAGAGTAGAACAGCCTCATAAGGTTTCCAAGGAGCAGCTGGTGGATTCGAACTGCCAACCTTTCGGTTAGCGGCCTTAGCTGTTTAACCACTGCGAAACCAGGGCTCCCTACTTAGCAACTGTCTTAGTCATCTAGTGCTGCTCCAACAGAAATACCACAAGTGGATGGCTTTCACAAAGAGAAATTTATCTTCTCATAGTCTAGTAGGCTAGAAGTCCAAATTCAGGGCGTCAGCTCCAGGGGAAGGCTTTCTCTCTCTGTCAGCCTTTTTTTTTGTTGGGTGATTCTCCTACAGTAGCTCCAGCCTTGTAATTCTGAAGACCCTTTTTTATTTTTTTCTCTTCCTCTAAATGACGCGCTCTGGTCCCGGTGCTTCTTTCTTGGTGGTATGAGGTCCCCAACTCACTGTTTGCTTCTCTTTCCTTTTATCTCTTGAGAGATAAAAGATGGTAGAGGCCAGACCCCAGGGAAACTCCCTTTACCTTCAATGAGGGATGTGACTTGGGTAAGGGTGGTGTTACAATCCCACCCTAATCCTCTTTAACATAAATTTACAATCACAAAATGGAGGCCAACCACACAATTCTGGGAATCATGGCCCAGCCAAATTGATACATTTTTGGGGGGACATAATTCAAACCGACAGTAACCAAAAATAAAATCCTAAAAACGCACTCAATAAAAAAATGTGTAGGACCTATGTGTAGAAATCTTTGACATTTCTTGTGAATATAAATAGAAAATTTAAGAAAATGTGAAACATCATCATGTTCTTAGGGAGACTTATCCCTGAAAATTCAACTTCCCCCTAAAATTAACCTATAATTTCAATGGGATCCCATTAAAATAGTGAATGTATATATATGCTCTGTTGAGAAGAGAGACGTTAATCTTAATAAAATTCTACCAAAGTCGATCTTAAAAACAAGCCCAGAGCGGCCATCTAAAACACAACTATAGGTCTC